TTCCCTACATACTTTCATTAAGCATTTATTTAGCACATATTGTAGATAAGCACTGTACTAGAAAAAGGATGTAAACAGGAGCTCTCTTGCTTTATATTCAAACTAGGTGTATCTCAAATCAGATTAACAGTAGATGCCATTTATTTAATGCTATGCTTAAGGCCAATGATAGACACTTTTAGTTGCATTGTTTCATTTTTAATCCTTTGTAATTTAGGAAATAGATACTTTTTCATATTTTAAAAGTTAGGGAACTAGGCATGTGGAAAAGTTATCACTTGCCCAAGGCCTTACAGCATCATAAATAAAGGTGATGTGACTCCAGAACCCACATTTAATCCCTGTATCATATTGATTAGAAGCAGGAAATATGCTCTCTGTTGCACAGTAGATAACTAACCCTTTAATTGGTCATTTTGCTTCATAGGGTAGTCTTGATCTGAATTAAGTGTTTATTTTAAATAGAGGGGTATAAATGTTTATTAACTGATCATGAGAAAGTTTACTGAACTATCTTCTAGTTTATGAATAGATACTTTAGCAAATGGAAAAGGAGAAATTTTAGTATCATAACTATTGATTTAACTGCAGATAATTAGAATAGAAGTGTGATCAGAACTGTGTGACAGATTCAGCCATAATTTAACCTTTGAGTGGAGTATTACAGTTTCTTATAGCCTTAACACTTATCATATTATTCTAATCTATTTTTAAAATTTCTAGAATATTATAAGCCCTTAATTTTTTATATGATGATTTGATAAAATAATAGTTACTTGATTTTATTTACTAGGTGTTGAATACTTTTATTGCTAATTGGCTTTTGAGCAATTTTACAAATAGTAAAAGATTGAAACCATTTTGACTTGCTGTTTGCATAACAGTAAACCGTGTCTGAACTCTTGAAAATTTGTGACTAACACTTAAGCCATTTTATGCCAAGAATTCTGCCAGAAGTGCAACTGGTTAATGGCAGCCAGTGTGACAACTGAAGTGACAGCTTCTTGAGTTCATTTACTGTGTTAGCTTTCCTGTTAGGTCAGGGAATGGAATAAAGTCATGTATGTCTAAACATTTCTCTTAACCCAACAGTGTATAAGGTGTTTTAAAAGTGTTCCTTCACCAAGATTTTCCCTATTTCATTTCATTTCGTGGTATGTTTGTAAGTGGCATTAAATCCTAAATCATATGTGGTAGGTTACAAACAAAACAAATTCGTGTTTTAGAAATCTAATCGAGTGTTATATTTATTTTTACGTGCAGGTCTTGCTATTTTGGAAGCTACAAGAAAAAAAATAGATTGGAGAAGGTTTGGTCTTTTAAGTGGACATGGCTCAGATATCCAACAACAATGGGTTTAAGCAATGTTCATCTTCACATCTGGAACCAACAAGAACAAAAGATGTGGGCAAAGAAGAAGCATTACAGATGGAAGCAGAGGCTTTAGCAAAACTGCAAAAGGATAGACGGGTGACCGATAACCAGAGAGGCTATGAGTGGTCAAGCAGCACCAGACAAAAAGCACAAGTTTATAGCAAACAGGATTATGATCTCATGGTGTTTCCTGAATCAGATACCCAAAAAAGAGCAGTAGATATTGATGTAGAAAAGCTTACCCAAGCTGAACTTGAGAAACTATTGCTGGATGACAGTTTCGAGACTAGAAAAACACCTGTATTGCCAGTTACTCCTGTTCTGAGCCCTTCATTTTCAGCACAGCTGTATCTTAGACCTGCTATTCAGAGAGGACAGTGGCCACCTGGATTATCTGGGCCTTCCAGTTACTCTTTACCTTCTGTTTACCAGTCAACTTACGGTAGTAAACAGACTGTATTCCAAAATGGCTTCAATCCAAGAATGCCTACTTTTCCATCCACAGAACCTATATATTTAAGACTTCCAGGACAGTCTCCATATTTTTCATATCCTTTGACACCCACCACACCCTTTCATCCCCAAGGAAGCTTACCTATCTATCGTCCACTAGTCAGTCCTGACATGGCAAAGCTGTTTGACAAAATAGCTAGTACATCAGAATTTTTAAAAAATGGAAAAGCAAGGACTGATTTGGAGATAAATTCAAAAGCTACTATCACCAATCTCCAGGTATCTCCAAAGTCTGGAGATATCAGTAAGTTTGACTGGTTAGACTTGGATCCTCTAAGTAAGCCTAAGGTGGACAGTGTAGAGGTATTGGACCATGAAGAAGAGAAAAATATACCAGGTTTGCTAGCAGACGATCCTTGGGATGCTGTTCTTCTTGAAGAGAGATCACCAGCAAGTTGTCACCTTGAAAGAAAGGTGAATGGAAAATCTCTTTCTGGGGCAACAGTAACAAGAAGCCAGTCTTTAAATATTCGAACAACTCAGCCTACAAAAGTCCAGGGCCAAATATCTCAGGTATAGTCTTTTCTTACTCACTTCTCAGACTTAGTGTAACAGAGAATTCATATTTGTGTACATAATTTATTTGGTAAAATAAATATTTTTTATGTTGAACCTTGTTTTCTTAAGTATACTGTGAATGTTAGATTGTGTGGAAAAGGATTAAATGTGTTTAGGCAAATGGAAAAAAATTTTTTAAATTAAAAATTAAAAAAAATTTTTGGCTGTGGTGGGTCTTTGTTGCTGCATGTGGGCTTTCTCTAGTTGTGGTGAGCAGGGACTACTCTTTGTCACAGTGCACAGGCTTCTCATTGTGGTGGCTTCTCTTGTTGCAGAGCATGGGCTCTAGGCACTCAGGCTTCAGTAGTTGCAATGTGTGGGCTCAGTAGTTGTGGCACGTGGGCCCTAGAGTGCACGGGCTTCAGTAGTTGCGGCGCATGGGCTAAGTAGTTGTGGTGCGCAGGCTCTAGGGCGTGCGGGCTTCAGTAGTTGTGGCGCGAGGATTCAGTAGTTGTGGCTTGTGGGCATAGTTGCTCTGTGGCATGTGGGATCTTCCTAGACCTGGGGTCGAACCCGTGTCCCCTGCATTGGCAGGCAGATTCTTAACCACTGCGCCACCAGGGAAGTCCCAGGCAGATTGAAAAATTGCTTATTATTAATATTATCTTTTCTAGGATTGTGAATTTTGAAAACCTATAATCAAGGATCTGCCTTTCACTGATAGGCATTAAAAATAATTTTTATCTGTCTCTCCTTGTCCATTCATTATATGTGGTCCTACTTTCTTTTCCTTATTGCCTTTATTTTTCAGGGTAAATAAGGAATTTTGGGTTTTAACCCCATTATAGAAATTCTCATGTATATTGTTTTGTTGTTTTTAAACCATGAATGAATGAATGAGTAGAAGAAAGGGAGGGAGGGAGGAGGGAAGGAAGGAAGTGAGGGAGGGAGGGAGGAAGGAAGGAAGGCCCCAGAGAGATGGGAGAAAAGCCATTTAAAGGACTCTCTTTAAACACCTGTATTGATATAAGTGAAGAAAAGAACTAGTCTATATAGCATAGTTGCTGAGTTCATATAGTCTTACTGTCTGGAAAAATTAGTTAAGGGTGCCTGGGACAGGATGTCTTCTCTTAGAAGAGAGGCAGCAGGGTTTAGACTTTTCCTTTCCATATATAGTATACCACTGAAGATTTGTATTTTGCTCTTATGGTATCTGTGGATTCTAGGAATGTTTAAGCCTCATTCTTACCTTAATGTGAATCATATCATTCAGCTAATTAGATCCGCATTTGGCTACTGTTTAGGCACTGAGATTCAACTAGCATTTAGGGGACGATAAGCAAATTTTGCATGATTTGGATGGGTTTATGTTGAATTGTTGATTCTTAAAAACAATTTTAGATGTCTTGGGAGAAAAAAGCAGATATTAAGAAGGTTAAGAAAAAAGGATGAATGAACATATGTATAAAAACAATTTTAGATGTCTTGGGAGAAAAAAGCAGATATTAAGAAGGTTAAGAAAAAAGGATGAATGGGAACATATGTATATGTATAACTGACTCATTCTGTTATAAAGCAGAAACTAACACACCATTGTAAAGCAATTATACCCCAATAAAGAATTTAAAAAAAAAAAAAAAAAAGAAAAAAGGATGAGGATTTCTTTGGATAACACAATCAACCCAGAAAAATCGTAACCAGTGCAGTGTTTTCCAAATGTATTTTGACTACAGCTCCCCACTAAGAAATACCTGTTATTAAGGTCTCTTAAGCTTTTCAGTACTGTTTACAAATTTAGTAACAGAATTTCTTAACACCTTTCAATTTAAAAGTCAGAGGTTAATTTCACAGTTTAAATTGGAATCATAAATATTTATTCTAATGTCATATTATTTACTCTTAATATTCTATGTCATCTTGTCATGATTTTTGTCTTTGTATTTACAAATAGCAGTCATTTCCTAAAGTATTTGAAAGGAGAAGGGAAAACTTTAAGCCAAATCAGGAAGTGTGGGCGGGGGGCTTATACCTAGTAGTGGAGCTGCTGGTTATTCTATGCTTAGCTTTTTGAGGAACCAGCAAACTCTTTTCCATAGTGGCTGCATCATTTTACATTCCCCCCAGCAATGTATGAGAGTTCCAGTTTCTTCACATGCTTGCCAACACTTGTTACTTGACAGTTTTTTGGATTATAGCCATCCTGATGGATGTGAAGTGATATCTCGTTGTGATTTTGATTTGGGTTTCTCTGTTGACTAGTGGTGTTGAGTATCTTTTCATATGATTATTGGCCACTTCTGTATCTTTTTCGAAGAAATGCCTATTTGTCATTTGCCCATTTTAAAAATTGGGTTGTTCATAGCTTTATTCATAATAGCCAAAAAGTGAAACAACCCAAAATGTCCATCAGCTGATGAATGGGTAAAAGCAGAAGCGGTATGTCTGTACAATGGAATACTATTCACCCATACAAAGGAATGAAGCCCTGATATATGCTGCAACATGGATGAACCTTGAAAACATTGTAAGTGAAAGAAGCCAGACACAAAAAAACATGTATGATTCAATTTATATGATATGTCCAGAAAAGGCAAATCCATAGAGAAAGAAAGCAGATTAGTGTTTGTTGGGGGGGTTGGAGGAAAGAGGGAATAGGGAATGGTTGCTTAATGGGTACAGGGATCTTTTTTGGGGTGGGTGATGAAAGTGTTCTGGAATTAGAACATTTCAGTGTTCTTACCATAGTGGTGATGGCCACATACCATTATGAATGTACTGTGAGCCAACAAATTGTACATTTTTAAATGGTTAATATGGCAGGTTTTATGTTCTATGAACTTTACCTCATTTTTTTTTTTTTTTTTTTAAAGGAAGACGCTGGTCCCCCTGATCCTCCCATCCTGCTCAGGCCAGGTTACTGCTGGATTCACATTTGGGTCAGTGTTCCAATAGAGAGATCCCTCTCTAACTGTGGATCTCCTTTTTATGGATTTAGCATGAGGGCATGGTGTTTGACACCATGTAGTCTGGATTAGGGGTATCAGAAGTAGTTTGGGAAGGGCAGCTGCCAGTAACTGGAAATCTCAGGAGCTAGGGAAAGTTGCAGTCTCTGCTATCAGGGAAAAAGAAGCCTCTGGTCCTAAAGGGAGCTGAGTTTAGGCTCAGCCCTCCCATTGGTAGAAGGCAGAGCCCCTGATTGTCCAGGCAACCCAGAGTGAGCATCCAGGTCACTTTCAAATAATCCACCTGCTCCTTGCATCATACCTTCATGGGTATGCATTTGCACCTCTACAATATATGCATTGTAGCCACAATACATAGATTATCTTGAATTTAATAAAATATTTATAAATGACTTTGGTTTATTTCATTATCTCTGTATCTCTAATTCTAACTTTCCCAGCAGTGGAAATTCATTTATTCACTAAGGGAGATAGATTATTCCAGATGAGCTGAAATTACCATTCCAGGTGAACTCTGGTTATCATCTTAAACAAGTTGAGGTTTCTGGGTCTACCAGAATTACTTGCTATCAATGATCCAAGACTGGACTCAGAACCTAAGAGCTACATGCTTTTTATCTGTGCTGTAAATGTTCAAACTGAACTCTCTTTTTTTTATAATCACTGAGACAGTAGAGAGTTCCTGAGAATCCTATGAGATCAGAGTGACCCATACCTATTTCACAGTTGAAGAAACTGAAATGTGAAGAAGTTAAGGAATTATTAATTTTTTCATGTAATAATGGTATTGTAATTAGTTAAATGAACTCATATTTTAGAGATATTTAAGATGATAACCACAGTTATCTAGTCTAACCAACTTTATTTCATGAATGAAGAAACTTAGATCCAGAGGGTGACTTATCTCCAATTAATATTTTCTTCTTCAGTTTCTTTGTAACTTAAAACCTGTGGCATAGATTGCCAGTGCTTTTGCTGCAAAACACTTGCTTCCTTTCCCTGTTGCCCTCTATAGTTTAGACTGGTCACTTCTGGTTCAACCAATGTTTTCTCCACCCTTTCCTTTGGTGGGGGCAGGGCTGTGATACTCATTTATATCCCTTTCATTGTCTCTCTGCATACATCTTTTCCTACTCATTTTTAATATTTGTCACAGTACCATCTTGATATTTTCCCTATTTGGGGTACTTTCAGAAATCATCTTGCAGGACTGATGAGGATAGGTAGTTTCCTAAAGATAGAAAAGAATTCCCCTAACAAGATCTGGGAAATCAGATCACATGGGAGTTGCAGAGAATTACTGCTTGTTCAAACTCTAGGAATTAGGCTTTTAGGCAAGTTTTAGCAGAAACATGTTCTTAGATTTTGTTTAAAGTACAGGGGGAAGGATCAAGGAGTAATCAAATTGGTTGCGAGAGACACGAGTCAAAGCCAGGTAAGCAAAAATAACATGACTTGATCAGCTGATCAGTCAGAGATGGGAGCTAGATTACTACAATGTACATCAGTAGCTTTACTAAATGGCACAGTGTCTGAATTGAGGTGGCTTAGGCTCCTTAAAGGAGTCTAACTGTGGCATGGCTGAGGAGGTATGTAATTGTCGATCATTCTGTTATACTCTGCTCTTTTATTTATTTTTATTTTTTAATATATTTATTTATTTATTTTTAGCTGCGTTGGGTCTTCGTTGCCGTGCGCGGGCTTTCTCTAGTTGCGGCTAGCGGGGGCTACTCTTCATTGTGGTGCGCGGGCTTCTCATTGCGGTGGTTTCTTTTGTTGCGGAGCACGGGCTCTAGGCACTCAGGCTCAGTAGTTGTGGCTCGCGGGCTCTAGAGTGCAGGCTCAGTAGTTGTGGCACATGGGCTTAGTTGCTCCGTGGCATGTGGGATCTTCCCGGACCAGGGCTCGAACCCGTGTCCCCTGCATTGGCAGGTGGATTCTTAACCACTGTGCCACCAGGGAAGTCCCCTCTGCTCTTTTAAAACCCCATGTAATAATTATGTTTGAGCACCACATTCTAGTCTACCAGTGGTAGACTAGAGTGTGTCTTGAGAAGACTACAGTGTTCAGGATCTAGAAGCTATGCTATTTAAGGAACTGTTGAAAAGATTGGAGATATTTTGCCTGAAGAAGAGAATATTAATTGGAGCTAATTCACACTGAATCTGAGTATCTTCATCTATAACATAAAGTTAGTTGGACTAGATAATTTCTGAGATCCTTTCAGGAATAATATTTAAAGTTTGGAAAGTTGCCCTGTAAAAGAGGAAGTTGACTTTTTTTCTTTTAAAGTTTCATGTTTGGGACATAGGTTCTCAAAGCAGTTCAGGAAGTAGAATACCTGAAAATCATGGTATTCTTGTAAAACAAAGGTGAAATAGTTATGTTCTAAGTTTTCCAATACATTAAGTGCGTTGCTTTGTGCAAATTACGTTGTACGTTGTGCTAGATTTTGTTTTTGTTTTTGTTTTTGTGGTACGCGGGCCTCTCACTGTTGTGGCCTCTCCCGTTGCGGAGCACAGGCTCCAGATGCACAGGCTCAGCGGCCATGGCTCATGGGCCCAGCCGCTCCGCGGCATGTGGGATTTTCCCGGA